GCTGGGAGATGGGACACTGGTGAAGAGGGACCAGAAATCCTTCCTTCTTTCCCTCCCTTCCTCCCTCCCTCTGCAATTCCCTCTCTCCCTCCCTCTGCAATTCTCTCTCTCCCCCTCCTTCTCTCTTCTATACTGGGGATTGAACTCTTAACAGTGCTAAATTATACTCTCAGCCTTTTAGAAATATTTTGAGACAGGGTCTTTCTGGGTTGCTTAAACTGGCCTGGCCTCGAATGTTTATAGTCTTCCCGCCTCAGCCTCCCATGTAGCTAGGATGAAGGGTGCGTGCCCCTGTGCCCAGTGAGGGCCTCCTGTTCCTGGGGAGCACCTTTCACGCACGTGCCCCTGCTGCTCCGCAGGGTCCCTGCCCTGTGCTGCTGCTGTTGTGTGCACCCTGCCCCTCTCAGAAGACGACCCTGCCCACCGCGTCCTCTGGCCATGCCTTCTGGCGCCCCCTTCCTCTTGGCTTTAAACACCTTCAGGCATCTGCGCCCACCCGCCCTCCTCCTTTCCTCCCTCCCTGCTGCAGGGAGCAGTGGGACACTGTCTCTTGGTTTTGCCAGGGGCCTCCTGTGCCACAGGGAGAAGCTGGCCTGCTCTGGGACTCAGTGTCCTTGTTTCAGCCGTGGCTGTGGGAGTGCTGACCACACAGTGGGCTCCCTGGAGCCAGGTGCTCGGGCTCCCTGGAGCCAGGTGCTCGGGCTCCCTGCAGAAATGCCACTCCTGGATTCCTGGCGCCCAGGGCAGGTCCTGGGCTCTGCGCTTTAACCAGAGCTGCACGGGTTCCTGCTGAGGTCTCTGAGGGAAGCCCGGGCTCCTCTCTGTGGGCTCCCTGGAGGTACACACCTCCACCCTCCCTGCATCCAGGGACCGCAGTGGTGTGGGGTGATGTCGGTGTGTCCTCCAGTGCTGGTGTGGCCTGGACTCTCGCTGTGTCTCCCTTTCCTGTAATGCAGACTTAGAATTTTGGGTTGTAACCCTATTCAGTAAATCCAGTAAAGACTACAAGCTCTCCTTTCTGCCTCACTCCCACTGCTGATGGCAGCTGTGCAACTTTGTAGTTTATTATTATTATTATTATTATTATTATTATTATTATTTGTGGTGCTAGGCATTGAACCAAGGCCTCCCATGTGCAAGGCAAGGCAGGTGCCCTGCCCTGGTGCGTATATAGTGCATGTTCATTTATTCTTTGATTTATTTAAGAGGCGCTTACTGAGGAGGCCTGCATGTAGCAGGCTGTGGCTGGTTGGAGACGCAGCACAGCGCCCATAGGAGGCGGGTGGCAGGTCTTTCTGGAGCACAGTGGTAGGAGTGGACCTCACGTCTACACATAGCCACCAGGCACGCTAGAGGTGTTCTGGAATAATTCAGACTGGCTCGTACTCCTGCCCCTTCCTGCCAGGCATTGATAGGGTGACAGTGACCATTTTGTCCAGTGCACCATTTTTGTTTGGGGCCCGTGTCCTGTTGAGTGAGGTATCACAGCAGAGTGGCCACCCAGGAGGCTGTGGTTGGTGGGGTCCCTCTTAGGGGTCAGAGGAACTCCTTGGGTGTAACCCAGGCTTCCCAAAGGGTGTCGATGGGAAGAGGTTCTTGCTCACTAAGGACTTTCCAGCCATCTGTGTCCTCCCTGCGGTGCCCTCAGGAGTTGAGGACTGGAACAGGTCCTTGTCCAGTGGGCGCGTTTCCCACAGGGCCAGGCTGGCTGAGGACTCGGCCGCCGGTGAGCGAGAGCCGGCCCCACCCCAGCATGTGAGGGCCAGGGTACCCGGAGGTCAGCTCTGCCAAGGCAGGGCCCGCAGCTCTTGGTTTCTGCGGTTGGCTGCCCGGACAAGGGTTTCAGACAGTAAAGCAGTGCTCCTTGTGTGGCGCTGGAGGCTGACAGCCCTGCGCAGCTCCCGCAAGGAGCTCCAGGGCCACAGTGTGCGCAAGCCTTGCCCTGAGGAGGCTGCTCTAGGAGGAGCCTGGCCTGCCCCCTGGTGGCTCTGCCCACGGCAGCTGTGCGCCCTCAGGCGGGGTGTCCACGGAGGTTCTCCCCCGGGGCTTCCCGTGCGTGAGCCCCACTTACTCGCCTCTGGGGGTCCCAGGGGTGCAGCCCTGGTCTTGTGTCTGGACTGTCTGCTGGGATAGCCAAAGAGCCTGCTTCCCGCCTGGCTATGCCCCAGCTCCAGTGGCTGTGCTCCTGCTGCCCAGGGTTGCCCTGTGAGGCTGGGCACGGTGGCACTGAGGCGATCTTGCCAACAGGAGCCGGTCTCTGTCCACCTCTGTTTGTGTGTCCTGTAAGCAGTGTATATCCAGGTGGCATGCGGAGTTTAGCGATGCCCTCGGGCACCACCAGGCTGCTTGTCACTGTGGCAGCAGGGTCCCTGGACCCATGCGTGTGACTTCCGCCCCCGTACGGAAAGGCTGGCATCATGGGGTGCTCACCAAGCTCCACCAGAGCCCCGTCCTCAGTATGTTCTCTGTCA